TTTTTTTTGGTGGGGGTGGGGGGTTAGAAAATGTTGACATAATTAAATAGGGGGGGGGGTCTTTGAAAGTTTTACAGTTATTGACAATGGAAAGGGGGGGGGGGGTGAGAAATTGCTTAAAAAGTGTTGACGTAATTAATGGACGACCCCTATGTGAAGTACCAGGGCCAGGTACCTTTTATTTAAATTTCGGCAAATGTGCTACTGCTACCGTAACAAATTCTGTTGTTTCAAGAGACGGTGAAATATTTGTCATTCTTAGACTAACCGTCGTGTCAAGTTGTGGTGTAATCGAGGGAACGATGCAGTTCTCAGGGTGACCAATGTGTTGTATCGTGGTGTAATAATTTATAAAGCAAGGAAAGATGCCATGCCTCGTCCTTGATAGTAGGATTAGTAATAGGACCATAGTCTGTAGGATCAGAATGAGTCAGTCATCGTACAAAAACGCTTTTGTTTTGAGAGTGTACACCATTTAAAAATAAAAAAAAATTCTTAAAATTCTTATGCCCCTGTAGCCCACGCATTTCAATATCCATCAGTGGCGTAGCTAGGGTTGGTGTCACCCGGTGCGGTAACTCATGGTGTCCACCCCACCCCCCTACAAAAAAAATCCATGATGGATTCCTTTTTGTTGAATTAAGTCCACAGTATAACAATGACAAGAACAAAAACATATAAATCGAAGGTCATGAGGTCAATGTATTTAAAAACTGTAACAACGTTAAGTTATAGTTAGTTTTTCATTACATTAACTTAATTTAAAATTGTCCTTTCCTGGTCTTTAAAGCTGCAAACCTGACAATCACTTGATCGAAATCAATGTCATTCCATTGTATCACTTCCAATTGATAGCAGAGCCACATCAGAAAACCTAGTCTGTCCCACTGTGGATCATTAATATTTTTTTGATAAACCTTAGTTTTGAAAAGCCCCGCTCACCTGAGGCCTTACACACACATATCGTAAGAAAAGAATTAAAGGCTTAGCCAGGGTATTGGAGGACATTCTAGGAATTCCCATTCAGCTATGAATTTAAGAACATCAAATACTGACCAGTCCATGACTTTGTGAAATTCAATATCAGCTGCCTTTAGATATCTGCTAAGCCTTGGTATTTCTTTTAAAAGTTCATCTTCTGATAACTCATCATAGAAAGAAGTTAATTTTGAAACGGGCACAAATAACTCTTCTTCACTTGCTGATACCAGACTCTTGGGTTGAACAGCCCTAAGCATATCTGCTACTTCCTCGATCGCTGATGATCTGATCTGGAGTTCAAAATGAAAGCGATCAATACACTCCAGCATCTCCCTACTGTTTCACTCGCAGAAAGAGTCCAGCACCCATTAATTGTTCTACTGCCATTCTCTTCTTCAACATTAATCTTCTCTCTACCGAAATTCCTTATTGGTCTGATTTTAAAAGTGGCTTTTCAATAGCATGTTCC